ACTACATATAAACACATAATGAAATAGCTGACTCAATCCGTATATTTCTTCATATGTAGTATATACAGCTTCACATACATGTAAGCAAAAACACCAAACCTGCTCTGTTTTGATTTCACCCATTTTATCTCCATAGTGACTTAGCTTTCTGACACCTCAGTGAACTACTAAATAATTGAGGGGGAGAAAGCGGAAGGGAGTATGGGTGCCCAGTGTTCTTTTCTGAAGTTCATATTCATTTCAGTTGCACTTTTCGGTTAGTTTGCACAGAGTCGCATACGTGGTCTCCAATGGGCCTTAATTTCTGTTCGTGGCATGATATTCCCACTTTCCCTCTTGGCAAGCCCTGCTGACTTCCTGTACATCCAATCATAGCATCACGGATGGTGCAGTTCAGAAGGCTGACAAGCAGACAGCAAGGTCTGTGGGGCAAACAGCTTCCCACAGGAGCGCAAGATCCAGGGGGACCCACGTGCCTTCCTGTCCCTCCCCAGGCTCAGGCCTCACTTTTCTGATCCCTACAAGTGAGATCCGTATGCACAGCATGGAAATCAAGCACCTCCACCACTTACTCCTTTGCTCTTTGGAGATGCTTAACATGTAGGAGAAACTTTTAATTATTTCTGGGAATTTGGAATTGCAAAGTTTTCAGAAAGACAAGTAGGAAGCCTGCACTGCCATTGACACCAGAGGAAAAGCGATCGTTTCTGTCCCATGGGGATGTGCAGTCACAGCGTCACCAACCTTTATCTCCACCACGGCCCTTGCGCCTGCCCCCCTGAGGTCCTGTTAGTAGGCAGGAAACAGGTGAGTGTTTGCTCTTTCAGCCCTAGAAAGGCAGACTGCAAGGGATGCAGGAACAGCAGCTCTGGGAAAGGGATCTTTGACTGGAGACTTTTTGGGCTGCAGGCTGATGTGCATCACGGCCACACAGACAGGCCTGGGGACTGCATACGGGCAATCAGGACTCCGTGCTGAGATCTGGGGATCGCTGATGTTTTCCAGCGGAACCCTCACTGGCCATGATTATTAGCGCTAGGTCAGGGTGAGAGCCAAGTCTGTTTTATGATGTTTTAAGACTCTAATTTGGAAATTGCTAGGACTTTGAAGGTACCATAGAGTAATCACAGAGAAGTTTCATGAAATTCGTTTTCTGTAAATCTGTGTATCTGTGAGTATACACAATGGAGTCGATTGTATCATCCAGTTATGTGTATAAAAATCCAATGTGTAGTAGTAGACAAATGAAATAATCCTATTCTAACTTGTATAGTAGGTGCTTAATTGAGATAGTAAATACATTGTCACTGTCAAGGTGATATAGAACACATGACAGGCTTGGAATTTTGTTTTGCGTTGGTGCCCAACTTTCCCTACTGATATTACAGAAACAAACTTTCAGGACTCAGCGTTTTTCACAAGGTCTTCTTCGATTAAATTTCCATTAATTTTCTTTGCATCTCTCTTTCATGTCAGTTTTTCCCTGAACTTGATTCTATGGTTCCTATGTTCATTTTATATTCTTGTGCAGTATTTTAATGTTTTACAAATTAGAGAATAAGTTTAATTTGAATATTTATTCAAATTACTGACATAACCACACATTTCTTATGCAAGTTTAATTTAGTTTGCTCTCAAAATAATTCATCACTATTTAAATACCATTTTCCAGGCATAGGACAAACTACAGCATTTTTCTGTAATTTGTGTCCTGTGTTCTTCTGGCAAGAAGTGAAATGAATACTTTTGTTCTTACTATAATTTTTATATATTTATCCACACTCAGTAAACATCCTGGGAACGGTAAATTACCCAGTGTATGCACATTTATTAAGAATCCTCAAACTCATTCATTATTCTTCAGTATGTATGGGCCAGTTGAATAATATTTCGATCATAATGGGAATATTTTAAAAACCTTTTAAGTATTTTTAGGGTTCAATAAGTATACATATGTTTTTATTTTTGAACAACACAACTCGGGAACTAGGTACCTTATACAATGCTACAAGATTACATGATGTTGTTACAAGGAGGCTACTCTGGTTCAAAGCCAGACTCCATTAAAACTTGTGTGAGCTCTTGCGGCTAAAGTCTCCTGGAGGGGAGGCCGTGGCCTGGAAAATGGTGGACAGAAAGGCGGGAGAGCAGAACCCTGAGAAGCCGAAGCCAGCTGGAGCCGCCGGAGTAAAGGAGGGGAAAGTTCCAGTCGCAGCGCTAGGAAGCGATGCAGCTGAGGAAGAAGCTGCTGACCTCCCAACGAAGCCTACGAAGATCTCCAAGCTTGGATTTGCCGCAGGTACTCGGACAACAGAGAAAGCATCAGCTACGGCCATCAAACTTGGATCAAGTGAGGCTAAGACACGCTTCCAACTCTTGCTCCAAAAGCCCTTTCAGTAGCAGCAGCTTTTAATGAAGATGAAGATCGTGTAGCAGAGGAAAGGCCTCCAGAAGCAAAGATGAGGATGGACAATCCTGAAGGGATACTCCAGCATCGGCTGGACCACACTCGTTCAGTAAAGGAAAACACGACAACCACAAGCTACAAGCTTTGGGAACAATATATAAAATCTCATTTTGAAAACGTCCATGACCGAGACAAGTAAATGATGTGTTCTGAATTGGGGTGTGGGGTGGGTGTAAAGTTAAAAGGAACAGTTTCCTTTTTTAAAGAATGCTGTCAGACTCTTTGGAGCCACATTTTGTTTTTCCCCTTTTTTTTTTTTT